AAAAAAAAAAAAAAAAGATGAACTAAAAAAGGTTTATAGTTTAAAGTCTAAAATTTAAAATGGATTTTCTTAAGTAGAAAGGCCTAAAAACACATTTTCTCAAAGTAAAGAAACAAAGTAGAGTTCTAACCTATGAAAAGAAGTTGCTTTACGTCAATTTTTTTTTTTTTTTAATTCTGATGGTACTGAAAAGACAGAATACAAAAACAAAAGAGTATAAATACATGATGATGAAGGGCATCTGGCATGCAATATTCTTCAAAATGGACTAGGAAAACTACAATAAACCCAAGAAAGTAGAAAAAGGAGAAAAGAACTCGTTGCTTCAAAATGCAACATCCCTAAAGGCTAAAGTATATATGAATTTATGAACAGAAAACCCGAAACCTTAATCTCTCCGCAAAACCCTTAATTAACTTTCCCAACCCTAAAAATGGCACTACGAGACGACTACTAAACATCATGCTTTCAAATCAACCCAAGATGTAATGCAAATTGCAGAATTAAGGAAATCAATTGAGGAAATTGAAAAAGAAGGAAAAAAAATTTCACCACTTATTGATCTGGTCCTCATCCCTCAACCTCCTACAGATATCCACACCTCATCGACGTCTCCTCCATTAATGAAGACATTGTGCTAATTTGTGCTAATTAAACTAGGTATGAACAGGCCTAATTGCTGGTACAGGCATGCCCAGAAAACATGATGACTTTGCAGTAAATTTACTGTAGGTCAAGCATTTGCCACCGTTTGCACCCAACCCAGCACTGCCACTGCCGCTGTCTACCTTTAAGTCATCTGCGGTTGAATTCTCATTCTTCATCATGGGTGCTTCAAGGAAAGCTTCATGATCTTTATGTAAGAAGCACTTGCGCCCATCGTTTGTACCAATCCAAGTACTGCCTTTGTCTCCCACTGACTTTACCGCTTCTTGTTCGTTGTGTATGATGATATCAGTTGACTCTTCATGCATTGGTTCTTCCTCTTTACGTTTAATTTCAACGTTCTCAATGTAAATCTCACCATTTTCTTCAGTCTCGACCTCCGTTTTGGTTTCTTCATCCGCATCCTCATCATCGGGGTAAGAAAGAGCCAAAATATCGTCGTCAAGGGACACAAGCTGCAAAGTTAAACGACCATTTGATCTGTGTGCCAGGAAATACTCATGATGCTTCACCTTCTCTTCCCAAAGGATCAGCCGTCCGTCGCTAGTGTAGTACCTCTTCAACACCCAAGGCATATGAGAAGACAGATTCCCCGTGCGAGCAAGCAACGGAATCGGTGGCGGAAACTCCCTCTTCATCGCCGTACACTGTTGTTGACATCGATGATCTCGCTCCCCTCGCCGTTCACTACTGCAAGTCTCAGATAAGTAGAGCGACGATTCCTCACTCTCCTCGAGATCACAGCAACTCTCCATCCCAATGTAATCACCAAGAGCGGAAGAAGACGACGACGACAACGACGACGTTCGAGATAATACCATATCAGATTTCATCATACAGGAAACTTCATGCGTTTCTGTTTGGTTCTTTTTAGAGCAAAGGGTTAAGGGTAAGGTCTCAAGACACAGATCCTCTGGTACCATTTTGGCTTGCATTTTGAACGGCGAGAAAGGAACCAACTAAGAGGATTAATCCGGCTAGGTTTTGGTTATGGGTTCCCTCCAGATTTGCATGGTTGGCTATAAACAGTCTCTTTTTCCCCCCCACCCTCCCTTCAAATAAATCCAAAACCAAACAGTGTCTTTTCGAGAAGAGTAGTATTGAAGAGAGGAAAATGGGCAGCGCAGAGTACAGCTAATACCTCTCTGTGACATCAAACGGCGTCATATTAATTTGGCATTGATTCTGACTTGCTTAACCTGTAATATATATATAAAAAAAAATCCATAATTAATTATTTAATTATTAATATTAATAATATCACATAAAATTATAAATTTAAAATTAAATATTAAATAAATATTACATATCATAAATATATACATATAATATCAATATATATTGCAAGTAAATATTAATAAAAAAATTAATAATAACTAATTATTTTCATAAATTAATTACTTGAAAATACAGCTAATACATGTTATGGTACAAAAGATAAGCAGTCTGCGTTTTTGGTAACATATGAAAATAGACAGTTGTCATGGTACACGTGGAGATTATCATTACACGTGTCATGCCCCAAACGTTCTAGTCCTTTAATTAAAGATCGGTTTTGGTACAGGTTCACTTAATGAAAAATTAGGATACCAAATAAATTAAAAAATATTTCCCAAAAATGTGGATGAATTCGGTGAGCAAATCATTTTCATTTCAAAAAGAAAATGAAAGGAAAAGGAAATAAGAAAAAAAAATTATACACATCCTGGCAATCAGATAATATGGATGAAAATGGGAAGAGAGGAATCTTTGATTTTTTTTTTTTTTTTTAAATTGCTTTGGAAACCTTGAAAAAAGTATTGCTTGTTTTATTTTCAAATTAGAAAAAAACAGAGGAAACGTTCAAAACGTGATTTGTACGGGAAAACAGTTTCATTTTGTCGTGGCGGAAGCGGAGGATGATATGGCTTTCAGAAAGTAAAGAAGCACGGATAATACCGTTTCGAAAACTTGATTCGGAGGAAACTTAATAACAAAAAAAATATTGATGAATCCAACCTACGCATCGTAAATTCGTATCGATCAATTCCTTAAACCAAATTCGGAATTCGAATTAAAAACTGATGAGTCGAAGTTAAGAACTGAACGGCGTCTGAAGAAAATAAAAATCAGAACGATTAAGAAATCGACGAATCTAATAAACATATATCGGTAGATTTGAACCGATCAATGCACTAAAACTGATAGACATTTCAATCACCGAATCGATCGAGCAGAATTAAGAGGAAGTATGAGAGCTAAAGCAAAGCACATTGAATAAACAGAACGAAATCGGAGCTTGGAAACTGCTTAGATATTCCGAACAAATCATCACACTAATATATACGCATTTATGACTTCGAGATTCAGAAAATTAAAGAGAATAGGATAAAGTAGACTCACCGGAGACAGGACGACGCGGCCGGAGTGTCCTCTAGTGGTAGTGGAAAAAAGAAGTGAAGGTTGATAATGGAGAAGACGAAGACCGAGTTGGAAGAGAGCGGATACAGAGAAGCAAAGGAGCCTCTTCGGATTTTCCTTTTTTTCAATTTTTTTGAATTAATTGGGAGGACAGATAACTCGCTTTGATTTCACAGTTTTTATTAGGAGAGATAAAAAATTGGGAAAACAGGGTATGTTTTCTTCACGCCTAATGTTTGCCTATTTTTAGCCGAGGTTTAAGGGATTTGAGTTGTAACTCGACAACTTGTAAGCCTCCTTCTAAACTTACCACTTTCTGTTTTAAATTTTAATTTTGGGTTTTTTAATGCCCTTTTTTTACTACTCAGTTTAATCAATTAATTTTTATTTAAAATATAAATATTTATTTTTATTTAATTAATTAATCAATTAAAATTATGTATATACTGATAGTGTTAAAATAAATGTTGATTTTTATAAATTTATACGTAAATTAATTATAAAAAATGCATATATTACATTTTTAACATATACTTTTACAACACAACTTATACAAACCTTTAATTAATTTTTACATCTCATTCAAAATTTCATTTTTTTAACAAGAAAAAAAACTATTACTAATAAAAAATTGATGAAAAAGTCAGCATTAACGTCTTGTTGATTCGAGTAGAAATAGTTTAGTTTTTTTCTTAAATAAAGTATTGAATTTGAATTTAAATTTAAATTTTGTGAATGGAGAAACAGATGTTGAAAAACTTCTCCCTAAATAAGTTTGATGCGATTTAATTTTGAATTAATTAGAATTCAATATAATTATGTCGGAGAGAGTAGTATAAAAAAGACTTTTGGAAACAGCTTTGGAGTTTATAGCAGGGAAGTAGAAATTAGAAAAATCT